AGAAACCGGTCCACGATTTTACAAAGAAGAATCCGAGCAATCCAGCGCCGACGTTCAACGATGGAATAATCCCCACCGTTAGATTCAGCTTGTGCGTGATGATGCAAAAGAGAGTCCCTAACAAGGCGCTCACCACGAGCCCTCTTATCGTTATCTGATCTTTCCATTCCGGGACTCGCTCCGACTTGACGCCGTCGCACCCCCCGTCCATGTTTATCTTGTTGAGAATCAGCGGCTCAGATATCTCGGTTCCCATGACTTTCGGATCTGGTGGGCTTTTAGGGACTTTCCTTGAGGGGATTTAATTGGAAGCAATTTCGACTTTTTTGGGGTTTGGATTACGAGCGGATCGACGTTTGGTGAAGGAAAATGCGTTGAAACTTTGTTTGGAAAACCAACCAATGGGAAGATAGATGGTGGGGTAATCGTGTGGGAAATCACACGTGGCAAAATTAAAAACTAGTTAAAATCCGTTTTTGTTTGATTCTTAGTTATTATACAGCCCATGCCGTCGGTGGCCGACAGAGTTTTGTTGGGATTCACGCCAAAATAATGTGAAAAAAATATAGTAAATTTGTTACAACCAATTAAGTTTTTTCTTTTGCCAAGAGTTTTATTGTAACTAAAATTATCAATTGATTTGATTCCCTCAACAAATTACTACCCTCATTTTTTTTCTTTTATTAAAGACATAAATGAAGAGAATTTTTTACCTATATTTAAAAATCTCTTTGATTTTTATTTGTTTATTTAGTTTAATAAATAATTTTAAATAATATTTTTATATTCATTTATTAAATAAATTAAATATAAAAAAATTATTTGATTTATTTTATATTCGTAAATAAATTCTTTTAAAATTCATTCATTTATTTCTTGTTTATAATAATATTAATAAATTATATTTTTATCTTTTATTTTAATTTATTAAAAATTTATTTATATTTATTTAAATTTGTTTAATTATCATTTATTTATTAGTTATGAATATATTTATTTATATATATTTATCTATATATTCGTTTATGAATAATATCATTTAATTTAATTTAATTTAATACGAAATAAATATGAATATTTTATCATTTAAATCAAATAAACTTAAACATAAAAATTAAATTTTTTATCGAACATAAGTCAAATTCAAATACTTTAAAAAATAAACAAAAAAAATTATAAATATACGATCGTTTCTTCATATTTTTTTTTTTACCAATGTAAATTGTTCTCCTTGTATCCAATAAAACAAAGTAAAATTTTATATATAAAATAAACAACTTAAAAAATATGTATTCTATTGAATGGCAACATGGCCTCATAGGATTCCAGACCCGTTTTACTCCTAATTCCTGATAATACAAGTGGGCCGACGACACAATTTAGTTTAGGCCTAACAAAAGGATCACCAACATTTTAAGTTTAGTTTTGGACAAATAGTTTTCTTAAATCTCTACATTACTGTAATGAGAACAACTTAAATCCACTTGATTTGTCTAGATTATCTCCCCCGTAAAAATATATATATATATATTTATAAGTTATAATGAATAATTTATTAATAAATCAATTTTTTTAAAAAATTAATTTATGTATATTTATTTTAAAGATTAATATTTATTTATTAATAAAGTGTTATTATTTAATTTATTGATAATATATAAATTTATACATTAATAATATATCAAATATAAATTAAAAAAATCATAAAATAGATATTTCTTTTGTAATTAATCACTCAAATGCATTTGTTTCGTCCGATAGTGCCACCCAAAAAAAAAAAAAAAAACCTTCGTAACAGGTGTATTTAACTAGTCACTGATAGTCATGGTATCCTAGGCTTGCTCAATGATCATTTCATTCGTACATTTTAAGATGCTATTTTTTTCTCCTTTTGCCAACAAACTTCACTGCTACATGTGCACAACGCAATTTCTTTTCTGTCTATCAACTACCTTACTAATTTAACAGTGTTTTAATGGCCCATTTATGATATAACCTTCATCATCAACTCCTACATCCACAGTACCCTTTCCATCATTGAGATTTCCCCTTTTTCTTTTTTTTTTCGGAAAATCTTACTAAAATAGACATGGAAAAGAAGACTATTTTCTTTCTATGAGATTCATTTGGTAAGGGTTAGTTCAGTTAATAAAGAGAAATTTTTTTTTTATTAATTAGAGTATGATTCATGTGAAGAATATTTTAAATGAATCAAGTCGATACGAAAGTTTTCACTCTTGAAAATGTTCGAGACGAAAATTAAGATCAAACAAAATCATAAAAAGAAAAAAAAAAAAGGGAAAGAGATCAAAATTTTAAAATTCCATGTGGGATTCACATGTCCACCATCAAATCTGGGTTGAGCCAGCCAATACCCCACAGAAAGTCATGCGTGTTGCAGGCTTTGCTCTTGTCTTGGTTTAGACTGTAGATTGCAAATGATCCTCCCTTTCCTCCAAAAATAGCAATTACATGTTTTATTATCTACTTGTTTTTCTTTTGACCTTTTTCCTTGACTCATGTTTTGTAGCAGCTTGTTGGTTAGCTGAAAATGAGCATTCCTCATAACTATATGAAAAACTCAGTATTTTTCAATACCTACATCACCTCAAATAGGGCAGTGTTTTAACAGATTTGGACAAGCATGTCTCACCTCAATCATTATCTCAATAATGATGGACTAGAGTACTTAACTGGTCTGCCAATAACACAAGTTTAAATGTTCAATCCTGCATCTAATGTAATCTTTACAAATCTTTGTGGGAAAAAAAAAATCTTTTCAAATGATGGGAGAAAAAAAAAAAAGAAGACCCCAGACATTAATAGTTAATGATCAAATGAAGAAAACATAAACTAGCTCTGAAAGTTTTACACAGTTGAAAGAGGAAGAAGATAGAAGAGAAACTCCAAACATGAAATGATATGAAGCACATGGTGAGAAACCAAGTTGGAAAGAGAAACAATAGGGGAAAGGAGAGCAGGAAACATTGTAATAGAGAACCCATGATAAAATAGCAGGCTACTATGAAAATTTCATCACACTCCATATGTTAAGTTCTTGAAAGATTAATACTTGACACGTATCAATGCGACATCCAATTGCTAGAAGTGATTGAAGATAAATTCTAATTGAACAGTCTACCAACTGTATCTTTTCACATAATTGTGATCATGTTTATCAACAGTGATATCTGTACTTCTTGGATGTAAATTGTAACTATGCAAATGAATTATTACAAGAAATCATAATTAACAAAGAGACCTGTGGGAATAATGTAGTTTTGGACATATCAGAGCAACATGTCATGTGTTTCAAATTATATTTTCAGAAGACTACTCTTAACAACAGTGTTTGTTGTCATCAAATATATGCAGTTTCCACTGTTGGGGAGTCGCAGAATATGATTAAATCATGTATGAGTAAGTTATTCATTCATCGCAACAATTTCCAACTAGGGGGAATTACAGAATATGATTGAAGCTAAGTATCCAAGACAACAGACCATGATATACATGCAGACACATGACAAAAGAAGTCCTTCTATTCAAATGGGTGGGTTTCAAGTTGAAGGAGTTTGTGGTGGCTTATGTCTCGATGTTAACGGCATCTTCCTCCTCGGCTCACTCTAACTTCCAAGATGCTTGTGGGGTACGTTGATGTATCAGAGCCAGCAACCCTGTCTGAGTGGCACCTTTCTTGATCCAAAAGTCATACATGCAAGCAGGAAAGAATCTCAGTAGCAATCCTCAATTGCTAAAAAGAAGTCATTATCATGCCTGCATCAAGTGAAACTTCAAGGTAAGAATCACAAACCACGGGCACGACGACAACTATGATGACATCAGTGCATGGCGATGCAAAGTTTTTCAATTTATGAAAGCTGCAATGGCTGTATTAACGGGACCATTCCCAATAAAGAAGGAAATACAAATTAAAAGTGAAACTTGCCTATGTCCTAGGTACCATATGAGATGTCTATGTTTTCGTTTTAATCCAGGTGTTAAAAAGAATTTTTATTAAAACAAAAAGGAAGAAGAAGAAAGAACATGATGTTAAAGAACTTTAATGAACAAAATTTATGCAAATGCATGATTATCGTCTGTCAGCAGCTCAGCTTAGCAATTAATGTTGCAGATTTAACCAAGACTCTTAGGGATAAGAAGTGGCGAACTGAAATGTTGATAGAATACAAATATAACATGCTACAACATTCCTATGGAATGGTCACTCTTAAAGTGCAAACAAGAATATCATCAAACCCAAAAGTGCAGATAACGGTAGGGAAGAAGAGTAAGGAGCATGTGCTTCAACTGAACTACAATCTGAAGCCAATAATTGCAATGCATAACATAAAAGATCACTTGAGATATACTTTAGCTGGGAAAACTACAGTGACACCAGTACAATAAATCAGGACCTTTTCGAGATAGATACCTAGCTCAAGTATGTCCTACCATAAATTTTAGTAAATTATCTAGTCCTCGTGGAATCCTTGATGCATATTTCCACCTGACATTGACAACATTCAACAAACTGTTCCCTTGTCCTAGCAGTAATGGTGGCACCGCCCTTCCACAAAATATACCTCGTAAAATAATTATACATGTAGTGTAGTACACTATAGGATTAGTCTACCCTGACAGATGTGAACGTGTATACGGATTTGATTATATTCAGATGTCTGGCCTCATTTATTATGTGTCCATTCGCATATGAATATGTTCGCATGCTGCTCACTAGAACAATATGTATCATCATCTGATTTAGGACAGACGTGATAGACTCATCAACATCAACAATTGATAACAGACGTTGATCAATGGCTATGCTAATCTTGCAAACGTTCAAGCAGCCTTGCACCTACTCCAACAATGCATGTAATGCAGGACAGAGATAACACCTGTGAAATCAAGGGTCTACGAGCCACTCCAATTTGGCCACTTGATTTGATCGTGACAGAGAACAGCTAACCAAAATCTTGTATCTTTCTACTTGTTTCTCTCTACTCACTTCTGTTACAGATCCTTCTAGCAACCAGTGGCTCATTACTAGTAGTCATGATGCGAAGATCCTGGATGATTTGCTCTTTAACAATCCTATCTCACCCTTTAAGTCCCATTCCCCCACTTCGTCTAAATCTATCTCTATATGGTCCTCCTATGAAAACCAAAAGAATTTGACATCAAGCTCTTCAAAGCGCGACCAAAATGAAGGTAAGCCTACTTTATTAGATTCTTACAATAGCTTGAACGTTTCAAATCCTGCTAAGTTCACCTCTTACTGTTTGTTATTGCAGTTACTAGGATGGATGCAGCATAAGTTGCGGCATAGCAATATTGAACCTTTCAAGGATTTCACAATTGGTATTCCAACTTCATTCATTCCCAACTAATTTCTCAAAACAATCTCCAAGGCATGCAACATGAAAATCATCATTAGATTGGATAATCCACTTACCTACTCAGCACAAAATAATCTTAACCATTAGAATCCGTTGCACTCAACTCGTCAGAGTTATTTATAGTTCAAACCAGATAGATTACAAACGTAAAGCAGACGTTAAAATACAGGTTCCTTAGACTATCAAAACTAGGCGGTCACAGCCATGTGGTGAGGGTAAGAATCATCTAGCCTTTTCAGATTTCCAATACAGCAGCCGCCTAACGAGATGGGGCCTCCCATCTTCATGGTCTCAGGGCTGTCTGATCTCTCTTCATAGCAGAATAGTTAAACCAAGTACATCAAAATAAGTATGGGAATCCGTCACTCTCAGTATAACCATGTTCACCACTAAGGGCATGGCAATCGCAGGATAGGTCCACATTACCTTTAAGTGCTTAAAATGAATATTGATCCGTACTGCTTAAGCACAAAATGAAGTCCTTTCTTTGCAACTGTGTCTGATGTCCTATTCCTTAAACTGTGTCTGATTTCAGGGAACTACTGTACCTGTCTCTCAGCTCAGTCATCTCTCAATGATCAAGAATCCCATCAAAAATCAACCTCTGGCTATGGATACGGATATGGATCCAGATATTCGACCCAGTCCCAACAGGAAAGTGAAAACTCCTTCACAGAATTTGAAGTCAAGGGAGTAGAAGACAATTTTGGAGATGAAACATCTACTGTCATCTCGGGGATGTTCAACGGCTTTCTCACCATTGGAACTCTGGGTTCCGAACAGTTTATCAGCGAGCCTGTAACGCCAACATTCACCATGTCTTTGGAGAATATAACTGAGGAAAAAACAGAGGTGACGGAAAATGATTTGAAGCTCATCAACGATGAACTGGAGAAGTTCCTTGAGGCCGAAGGTGAAGAACACGAGTCCAATGAATCATCACGAAGGAATAGTCAGGTTAGCTCGATTACACTTAGCGGTAAGCCAATGCAGGAAGCCAATGGCCAAGAATATGGGAAGACAATCGTATGTCCACTCCAAGGATATCTGTTTGGGTCTTCCATTGAACTTCCAGAAACAAGATTTGAGGTGAAGAAGGAAAAGGCATCACTTGCAGAACTGTTCTACAGGACAAAAATTGCAGAAGAGAATCCTATGGAAAAATGTGGGAAAGAGGAGATGCAGACCAAGCAAACCAATAAACCTGTCAAACATCTCATCAAGAAGATTCTGAAAAAGCTGCATGCTTCTTCAGGGAGTTCTACTTCTACCTCTTCTCCTAAAGAAATTAATTCTGTTTCAACTAAGAAAAAACTCCAAAAGGTGAGTCTTCTGGAGCTAGATTCTCTAACAACTTTATAATCATATCCCTTTCCCTGTTAAAGAATAAGGACCTCAAAATCAACAATTCAATGGTGGTATCCCAACTTCTGAAAACACAAATATTTTGTGGCCATGAGGTTGGTCCAAAAAAGAACAATAATTAAAAAAAAAGTTCTAGAGGTATAAATAAAATATCATCTATGCCAGTGCCATCATTCTCAAGCCTTAGATTAGAAACCATTCACTGAACAAGGAGTCAAAAATTCCCAAGTCAGATCATTTGAGTCCTAGAGGCTAGAAGTCAACAACATGATTTTTTGTAGTAACAAAAATAAAACATAATCATGTGGTACATATTTTCTAGGACAGTCTCTATCAGAAGAGAATATTTGACAAAATTGTCAATAATATATCAGGCAGTAAGGATTTTGATTTTGCCGTTTTAAACAGAACTGCATTCCTTTAAATAGCAAATAAACAAAATTAAACCACTGCCAACTATTGAATATTAGACAAGCATGGAAGTCTATTATAGGGAAAGCATTCCTAAATTGAAATGTAAGGTGAACTAGTTAAAAAAAAAAAAGTGAAAAACTGAAAGCAACCGCCTCCTAACATGACATATCAACAGTTTTTTTTTTTTGGAAATTGGCAAATTCCATGTATATTCCAAATCTAATTATGATCCCAACATTCTAAGCACTTCATCTCTATCCTGGCAATCATGATGGTCAAGTAATATGTCTCTTTCTTCTCATTAACTGCAAAGGTTTCTTTAAAAATGTACCCAAAAAAGTCTTTTCTCAGACTTAAAAGTCTCCATCCATTTCTCCATTTATATCCTAGATGACAGCAGATCCAGGACTTTTAGATGGTAAGCTTTTTGCAAACCTTTTTAAACATTCTTAGATATTGGTAGATTTTGTAGATATCAAGGCTGGAGCCTCCAGTCTAGCTATTAGTGGGTATTTTCTGATCTCTTTTCTTGTTCTTTTTCATTTTTGTTTCAGCAAACTCTTTTGTACAAATTTTGATAAAATATTCATACCAATCTTTAGTTTGTAGCATCAGTTAGTATTAGTTCTTATACCAGAAAACTGTAATAAAACTGTAAAATTACATTCAACTGCATTTTTATTATAGTTATAATAAATTAATGAAAAGTTTTCTGCAGGACTGCAGGAGTTTTAATTTTCAATCAGTGTGGTTTGCAGGTCATAAAACTGTTCCACAGAAAAGTCCACCCTGAAAGCTCTGTAGCTGAAAGAGAGTCTAAAAATTTGCAAAGGAATAAGATGAATAATGCTCCTTACAATGATGGACATGGTGATGACTATACTGATGGAGAGCTGATGCACCAAGACAAAGACAACAGGTGGTTTCTTCAGATATCAAGGTCAAAGGCGGGAAAAGAAAATTACAAGACCATCTCAAAACTGCCTCAATACGGGCTTACTGGCTGTACTGCTGCAAGTGAAAATGGGGAGCACTGGATCAAAACAGATGCAGACTGTAAGTATCATGCACCACCCCCCCCCCCCCCCCAAAAAAAAAAAAATGATAAACTTTTAGTATAAAATCCAACCATCTTGGCCATTCAAATGAAAATTCATTGTTTAAATTGTCTATTCCAAAGTAAAATCCATAAAAATGGTTAAAGCAAAAATAGTAATGATGTTACACAGGAAGAGTGAAAGAAACCAAATGAATTATACAAATGAATAGGCAATATTTTAACATATTCAGAAATATATTCCTAAACCTTATATCGGACTTCATTTTTTAATTGTGATGTTAACATATAGACAAGAGCAATACAAACTGTATTGAGCTTTTGCAGTCGAGTGGTTGAGTAACTATTTTTTTCTAGTATATGTCTGACTGTCTTCTGCTGCTGCCAATGTAGACTTGGTGTTGGAGCTGTAGTGAAGAAACTGCAACAAATGCTTATTAATAGATTTCATCCTTCAAAGTAAGTATGCCAATCTTATGGCTTTATAATATGAACTGGTTTGTAATGTGTTTGAGAGTGAGTGGTGATGAACTCAATAGAAGAAGAAGACTATTAGGAGGAATCCATCTTATCCTCCAGTGTGTGATAATAAAGTTGTGCACTTAGTTTCTTGTAGTCTTCCTACTCTGACGATTTGTTTATGATCGCTTTTAAGTCTGGTTCGAATTCTTGAGACTATTCTGCTCCAGAAGCAAAGCACTTCAAAAGTCCATAATTGAGCTTCAACAATACCTGAATTCACTCTGGAGACTTGAGAAAGGGAGACAAGGATTATCAACCTCAAAGAAAGAAATGTCATTAAAGCAGGCAATGTCATAAATTAAGCCAGTAGCCTCTCTTCCCTCAAAACCCCACCCATTTCCATCCTCCAGGATCAATCAACTAAACCTTGTAGCTCTCTAAAAGATAAACCAAAAGAATCTATAAGCTGAAACTATTAGCATATGCAATCAAAGGAGAATTAGAAACTACGAACTTCAATCTATTGGCTCTTGGATCTCATCAATGAGATCACAAAAAGGTTTAGATACAACATAGATCAGTTCGGTTTGGCTGCGTCATAGAAACCATTGCACTACCCATCAAGCCCAAAGCCCATATTTTTTGGCAAGTAAGGAAGTAAAATGAAATCTTTTGATAATTGTTTTAGTTGATTTAAATCCTAACTCTAGCTATGACCGGGGACTTGTGTTGTGTGGTGCATAATCATGCTCTCTCTCATTTCAATTTCGTGTTTACTACTTTTTCATAATTATATATCTAAGACTTTGAAAATGAAAAATGAACGTTTCCAAGAGGTTTGAATTTTCTTAGAAGGAGAGATGTGAAAACAGAGGTTAAGTGTAACAAACAAACCCCATGACACGTAGAAAAGGAATTGACTTCTTCAATTAAATCTAAGTAATAAAAAACTTGTTCTTCATGGGAATCTCACGTGCTTCAAAGTTCATACGATAAGCATTTCTAAATCATTTATGAATAAACAAATAACCTTAATCACATACTATATTTTTGGACTTTTGCTTCCATTGATCTGATCACTTTAGAATAAGAAAAAAAGATAATGTTGAAGTCTTCAATCCAACACTCCACCAAACCTCATTTATTTTTCACAAAGGAACTTACATGGAAAAATGGCAGAAATCTCACCGAAACTTCCCCACGTGGACTCGTGAACAACGTGACTTTCTTCTCCGCGTTCCTCTTGCTTGAAGACAAAAGATGGAATCATGGGAAAAGAATTTTGATTTTGGTCAGAGGAATTCTAGGAAATCAGAATTTTTCAAAGCGTAAATGTTAAGCAATCTTCCAACAAGGTTTAGTGGGAATCCATTCTCTTTAATTAAGCCATCGATTGGAAATCATATTTCAAATTCCAATTCCAATTCCAATTTGAGCAAGTTGTGAAATTGTTTAATTTAATCATAGTGGTCACACTCATATTATATTAGCCACCATCCAGTCTTTCAAGTAAAGCTACAGAAATAACAAACAAACCATCAATTTCTAACTCTCAACTTCCCAACACTTTACCATTTCCAATTGAATCACTATAACTTACAAAACCAACTGCCACCTTCAAAAAGTAACAAATAAATATTGCCTCAATAGACTGCTTTATAAAAAAATCATAATCTGAGTTGTAAGTTTTTAGATTTAAACTGTAAAAATATAAGATGTTATCTTTTAAATAATTGAATCTGAATATTTCATTGTTTAACTTCAAAAATATATAAAAAAGTTTAAGAAATATGATTATTATAAACATTATTTCAAGGTCACTTTTATTACATTAAAACCCAAATCTTTGAACTTTTGACTCAACTATAGATAGGTTGCTTACTATTATTATATTAATTAATTCTAGATTTGTAGTGGCATGGTCAGTGCCACCTCAAACAAGAAGGAACACGTGGAGGTTGCTAAAGCATGGTTTCTAAGAAATACAACCCCCCAACGTGTGGAGGATGATGTAGGAGTTAAAAACTGTTTGCATTTGCAGGGAAAGCAGGCAAAACACTCGAAAGGAATAATATTTTGGCTTTTCTTTGGCTGATTTGGTTCCCACAGCTTTTAAGTTTATGCTCTTTTTAATAAACTCTAATTAATAACTATTTATTTCTCATAAAAAAAGCACAACCAGCAAAGGCTAGGCTATCTTCATATATATCTCTCCGAGGCTTTAGCTTGCCTCATTTTCATCAGCAGTAGTATATAGGTAATGTCTAATGAACATTTTTTTTGTTTTGTTGTTTCAAAGCTTTGGCTTTTCTTTCTGGGTTCTATTTGATTTTGTTGTTTTTGATGTTTTCTGAGGTTTTTGGTTGATTGGCAGTTGGCTTTTGAGAATGGAGAATCAAGCAAAAAAAGTGCTGCTCACTTCAAATGGAGATGAGATTGCAGTGAACATAGCTTTGCATTTAGCCAAACGTGGTTGCAGGTTAAAGTCTCATACTTTTTTTGAGTTTATGCTCTGCATATGTTTGGTTTCTAAGAAAACAAGAATCTTGGAAATTCTTTAACATCTCTTTCTCTCTCTTTTTCTCTGCAATGGATATCATCAGCTTGTTTTTAAGGTATCAGAAAGTAGACTAAAGGCAAGGAAACGAGATAAAAATGGGAGATTTTCCAAAGTTTTAGTTTTTGGCTTTTTTTATGCTTTATTGTTTTCAATTTACTCTTCTTTCCTGATTCAATCCAATCCATTTGATTATGCATACCCTTCATGTTGATCATTGAGCAAAAGTTTAACTTAAGAATGATCTTCCGGGCATGTGATTAGGTTGGTTTTGATGGGAAATGAATGTTGTCTGAGGAGTGTCAGAGAGAAGATAATGGACTCAACTAACAATGTGGTCCCAATAGAGGTGGTTGGATTGGATATGGAAGAGGAAAGAGAGGGAGCTTTTGATGAGGCAGTAGATAAAGCATGGAAAGCGTTCGGATCCATTGATGCTCTTGTAAATTGTTATGCTTATGAAGGTATATCTGCTGTAAATATCGTTTTGGACTGATCCACTGATATTTTTTCAACTGAAAGTTAAAGTGGCAAAATTCCTTTTCGTTTTTTGGTGCCAGAGAAAGTGTTCAAAATTTGGTTATCCACCGGGATAGTGGGGCAATTTGGAACCTCTGCCTCTTATCTATCCAAAACCTTTTATTTTAACCAGATTTTATAGATAGAGACATAGAGTAGTGGTGGGATATTATGCCTATATGCTCTTATTTCTTCCGAGTTCTTCTACCAATGAACAAGCAATTTGCAGTATCTTCTGAAAAACTACCTGCATGAAAATTTTGGTAATTTGGGATTCTTGGCATACGACTGTCCTTTTGAAACATTAAAAAACTTTCTTGATTCATCAATCTACTTCTCTAACTACCTTAATTTTTCCAGTATATTTATAAATAAGATATGTGAGCTAGAACTTCAAGTTGCATTTTATAATAATTTGTCACATGTCTAATAATTATTTATAAGAGAAGGCTTTGTTTAACGAAGACTGGAGATGACGTTGACCATAAGTTTATAAACTACATGGGACTATTCTTGGGGAAGAATAAGATATGTATGCTTGATTAACTCCCTAATGGTTGTGAAATTTAGGTTGGTGTGACAGTCTTCTTTTGTTTCATTATTTGTGTAAAGTTTTAATTGTGATTTAGAAGGAAAGTTAAGAATTCATCCTTGATGTTTTGCATTAAGCTGAAATTATTTAGGAGCTGATGAGATATCTTTTACCAACATGCATGCTATTTCTTTTTGTAGGCTATATAAGTCAAGAAAAACACCCGAAATCCCCCCAATACATGCTTACCTTCCCAAATAAATTCTCATTGTCCTTTCAACTTGTATCGCTTAAATCACGGTGTTCAGGTCTATGCAATGCAGGTGGACAAAAACTAACCGTATTTGACTATGTAAAACAGGAAAGATGCAAGACCATCTGCAATTAGCTGAAGAAGAGTTCAGAAAAATTGTAAAAATAAATTTTATGGCTGCATGGTTTCTGCTAAAAGCTGTTGGTAGGAGAATGAGGGACCATAAATCAGGTGGCTCCATTGTATTCATGACGACATTACTCGGTGCTGAAAGAGGACTTTATCAAGGAGCTGCTGCATATGGTTCATGTTTGGCAGGAGTGCAGCAGTTAGTTAGAGTAAGTAAATTCACTAACTTCCCTTGTAGTCTTTGAAACATTTACACTCAGTTGCCACAATTTGCTATCCTAGTTAAGTATTCTAAAGATAACAATGAATATTGAACCTTGCCGTACACATTCAAGATTCGGCTCTATGTTTCTTGGTGGCTTTTGCTTTGGTGAACATCTTTCTCCGAAAGCAATGCAATCTTTTGGATAAGAGCATTGGTTTTCAAATCAAATACGAATGTAATTTCCAAAAGCATTGTGGAATATAGAATGGGTATTGATTTTTCTGGTTCATAGCTTTTCCTGAGTGGTTTTATCTTTCATTGCTGTTATCAGGTATCAGCTTTAGAGATTGGAAAACACAAGATCAGGGTTAATGCAATTGCTCGTGGTTTACACTTAGAAGATGAATTTCCTCTGTCAGTTGGAAAGGACAGGGCAGAGGAGTTGGCCAAAGAAGCAGTGCCATTGCAGAGATGGTTGGATGTTAAAAATGATCTGGCTTCAACTGTCATCTATTTAATCAGTGACGGTTCACGCTATATGACTGGAACAACTATATTCGTTGATGGGGCACAGTCTATAGTTAGGCCTCGAATGAGATCATATATGTAGTTCCTTTCCAGTATACTGATGCAGAAACATGCATCCAATCAGCTAGGTCTGGGAACAATATATGCTTTGTTTTTTTCATCCTAATATATGTTGTTTTGCTCTTTAGGATTTATTGAAGAGATCATAAACTGATCCAATTCAATGAGCACCAAGCCATCTAATGAATTCATCTACTTTTCTGAGTCACAAAGGGTTTGAAAGATTGTTCAAGCAAAAAAAATCAAAAAGTGTGGACGTTTGCAAGATTTGGAAACAGTTGTGATATCTTAATAATGCGCAGATGTTGAACTGGACATACCTCAAATCAGATAGATCCTCGTGTAATTCTTCATTACCTGCACTTTACAGCGTGAAGGGGAATCCAGGACTGGTTCATATGCTGGCTGCACTCTTCTACTCCCTCGACAGCAGCTAATACTATTGTTTAAACCATGATCAACTCTGATTTTTATTCTGTATGGTGGTGGGTGGGAGCTGGGAAAAGGTTAGTGAATCCCTCTCTAGATGTTTTTGGTGCATATCATATGAAATGGCCTATGTTCAATGATGGAATTGCCCCGTATTTGACTTAAAAAGAGTAATCAGGCAAAGATTTCTTGGATAATGAATAAAACAGGCCAACATTAGGCACAGATTCTTGATTAATTTTGTGGAACAACCCAATTTTAGGCTAATCTGAAAATGGCGGTTGATGTTGCCAATAAATTGATGATATGGTGTCGATGGCAGATACAGGAAGAAAACATTGCTCCTCATAATAACCATTTACACACCATGGAATTGGTCATTTACTAGCTACTGTAGTAGGTTGAAAGTTCATCAGCCTTCTTTTTTCCTTCTTTCTTTTTTCTTCTTTTTCTTGTTAACATGACAAGTTTCTAGATGGATTAATATTCATTCAACAATGGCAGCCTTCTTGGAATTCAAGACCTAAGCAAACGACAATCATTCTAAAGAAAGTTCAGTGACTTTCCTAACTTATGACACGTGCAAAATGAACAGCTAGGCTTTAAGTTACATAGCCAAGGCCAGTCATTGTTGCCATATTTTCCATAGCCAGTCTTCATTAACCATAAAAAGAACAAGCACCACATTCTCAAAAGAAGTTTCAAAATCTTTACTTGTTTTATTAGCAGTTTACCCAATTTACTACATCAGAACATATATATTTGGTCTTGATCCTGCCGTTTTTGACATAATTCCTTTTTTTTTTTTATGATAATTAAGTGATTTTATATATCCAAAGGAAATGGAAATATTGTTACATCAAAATTGTTCTAGCCAATATAGCCAGGAAACAAATAATCAAACATCGAGAGCAGAGCTGTTTAGACCATAGTTATCAGGACATTAAACCGTTTAAGGTTTAAAGTTATGGGGTTAATGGTTCAATTATTGGTTCAATGGGTCAATTGTCAGTTTAATAAAAAATATAAATATTTTAAAATTTTAAACTTTTAACTAAAATTATAGTTTAATAATTCAACTATAAAACTATAAATTTTAAGATATGTCATAAACTATAAATTTTAAAATATAAAATTCATAGAATAATTAATTACTAAATTACTTAATATTTTATTAAAATCATATTTTATATTTTAATAGTTAGAAATAATATTTATATTTTAGTAAATATAATAAATAATAAGTAATAAATAATTATAAATAATTATTATTTATATTTATTAAAATATAAATAATATTTATTAATATATAATAATTAATCTTTATGTACTAAAAAGAAATATCTATATCTAAAATTAATAAAAAGAAAATATTTATATTTACATGAAAATTAGTAAAAAGGAAATTAAAATCATTTACATATTTTTTATATGAATGTAGATTTTTTTATTAATTTTGCATATATACATTTTTTTATTAATTATTTTCGATCATAGTCAAATAGTTAATCATTTTTATTAATTTTATATATTATTAATTTTATAATTATTTTTTATTATGATATCAATTAATAAAATTTTTTGTTAGATCATTTTTTCTTGAAAATTGCTTATTTTTATACCTATATAAGTTTTTTTACAATATTATTATCCACCTATCAAAATATGTCAATATATCATTAATATAAGGATGTACGGGCTTTGATAGTATAAAATAAAAATTGGAGGTTATTTGGATAAAATAGTAGTATAAGGGTTTAATTAAATTATTTTAAATACTTAAAGAATTTTTCTCATATTTTACTTAAACTTATTAATTAGTATTGAATCAGTCCGATTAAAAAAAAATCGTTTGATTTACTAGTTTATTTTGTAAACCACCAATTCACAATGATTTTAAATGGTTTAATTGTAAAACTGATATAATTATAGAATTAAATCGATTTCAACATCGATTTACCCAATCGGACCGACGGTTTGATCCAATTCAATTCTGATAACAATAGTTTAGACCCTAAGCTATGCAAACATTATTATTAACAAAGTCTACAATTACATAATCAATCCTATTAATTTCAACACGACAACTTCTTTAATATGATTAAGAACTTGTAAGGAAAATTCTGCAACTTTTCATATAGTTCACTGTTTCTCTTTCTCCATATAAACACCTTATTTTGTCTTTACTTATTTAAGTCGTAGACGTAATCTATTTGGTTTATTATTTTATTTATTTATTTTTGTTTTTATTATTATTCTATAAATTAAAAAAAAAAAGCAAGTGATAAAATTTGATATTTGAAATTTAAAGTTTAAATTAAATTCTAAAAATTTAGTGTTTCTTGAAATCAAATTTTAAATTAAAAGTGATATTAATTGAAATCATATCTTTATCATCTTATATAATTTATTGTTTAGGGTAAAAAGAGGTGAAAAATCAAAGCAAAATACAGAGGAATTAGAGTGAAAAATAAAGAGAAAACCCTAACAATTATAGGCAGTTCCATCTCATTTTCGTTCTTTTCTCCACCATATTGACACCACCATCACAATTATCACATGAGTTCTTAATCTACCATAGCCTTCCATATTGCATGGATGTTTTTACCAACCATAACCTTTAAATAACCCTAATCTATAACTCAACTTATCCAACAATCAACATAGTACATTCAAATAAAGAGAAAATCATAAAAAAATTAACAGAAAATACAGGGAGAGAGAAAGCCACCAACTAAAAATCCATCACCATCAAACTGTCTAATTCTATCACTACTGAAATCACTATGATCAGCAACTCAATCACTATATTCAGTATCACAAAATCATAACTATCCCACACTACTTGCAAGATATTGCACGATAAACACACAAAATCTAGCAAGTCAAAAAACCCAACTTCAAGTTAATCATCCCCTACTAAAAATCAATCAGTCAAGAAATATCCAAAACTCAGAATACTCGAAACCTAATAGACAATCAAAATACAAAAAGCTACAATCAATCTAAAATTAGTGATAATAAGTAGCAAAAAAGGCAATTTTGGTTGTAACTCACATCGACGAAGTGACCTCGATTAAAAAGTAAGGTTATAAGTTGATTAGAATTTCAAGAAATACACAAAACTCAAAATATCTGAAACCCAATAGATGATCAAAATACAAAAAGACACAATCAATCTAAGATCAGTCATAATAAACAGTAAAGAACGCAATATTGGTTATAACTCACGTCATTTTAAAGTTGGAGAAAGAAAAACACAAAAAACAAAAAGAATGATGGTGGTGGTAACTTATGATGGTGATGCACCAAAATCTGAAAAAACCTATCGGTCTTCTTAAGGCATGAGTTTCTTGGTTAATTTTGTAGAGAAAAATATATATAAAAAAAATTGTAGAAGAAAATAAAAAAAAAAGGATGAAAGAGAGATTTAATGTTTTCCAAAACATAACGTTTTGGATTATCAGAAAAATAGTGAACCCGAGCCAAGCTGTTTCATCATATTGAAGTTAAGCCGAGCTAAAGGCCAAGTAGCTGAGCCATATTTTATTTTTCGAGCCAAACCACTTAAGCCAATTTTCTTAGCCGAGCCGAGACATATTTTTTGGTAAATTTTTTTTTTTACTATTTTTCTTATTTGTTTAATATTTCTTTTGAGTGGGTTTCATTTTTAAAATAAAAATAATTTAAAAATAAGAAAAAGTTAATCATTAATTTTCTTTTTAAACAAAAATTTTTAAAAAAATAAAGAAAAAGTTGAAGTATCAATTTTTTCTTAAATAAAAATAATTTCAAAATTTTGAGGAAAAAGTTGAAATATTTAATTTTCTTTAAATAAAAAAATATTTTAAAAAATATTTTTCAAAAAAAGTTAAAGTATCAATTTTTCTTAAATAAAAAAAATATTTCAAAAAATGTTTAAGGAAAAGTTGAAGTATCAATTTTCTTTAAAACGCAAATAATTTCAAAAAGATTTGAGGGAAGAGTTGAAATATCAATCTTTCCTTAAACAAGAATTTTCAAGAATTTGAGAATAAAGTTAAAATATCAATTTTTCTTAAAGTAAAATTTTTTAAAAATCATAAAAAATAATAAAATAAATATTAAATAATTTGAAAACAAAGCCTCTACAAAAAAAAAAAATAGTTTTCTTGTATACTCTTGAGGTGAGAGAATTTTCTTAATTTTCTATCAAAAGTATTGAAGTCAATTAAAAATAATTTCTAATAATTAACTATTTGGTAAGTTTTTTTAAAGCCTCAATGGATAACACGAAATCAAACTAGTATCACCATTTGATGAGCGTTATAAAAATATTATAACTTTCTTCACACGTAATCGTATTCTCGAACCTAATTCTAATTTCGTAAATATTGAATCTACCTTTTAAAGATATTTTAATCAAATTTTAAACTTCTCTTTAAAACCGGATATATTCAATTAGGTGATCAATGACATCTAAATAAAAAGATTAATAACAATTCCTAAAGTTTATGTCTGATGATAAGTCATTGATCTATACATTATGACACTCCACGTATGAGTTGTTGACATAATTTCCATTGTTACGGTACAGCCACATTTTTATAGTATCTTAAGCAGCATAGGAATATAAAGAAAGGGAAATAAGATACTAATTTTGCATTATTCTGAAACCTTCTTAATTATTTGAAAGAAAATTACATGCCATTTCCTTTGCTCTCAATCATATTATATATGGAATAATCTTAAACATTTTAGGAATTGAAGTGAATCTGACTCATTTCCAAATTTCAGAGGTAAAGGACCTTTGACCTTGGATGCCACATATCAGAAAAATTTTCAGTCTTCAGAATGATTACAAGTTGTAGTTTTAATGTTAGCAGACACTGAAGTCAATCAGAATTATAAAATTTTCATGGAAATAATTATGCTTTCAGAATTTCAAGCAGTGGTTAGGCAAACAAGCTAGTGCTCCATTTAACCATGTCAAGGTCTGTAATCTACTCATCAACTATACATAGTAAAAGCATGCAGTAGGTGAAAAATCCTCCAAATGGCATGATTATGATATATATGATTATAAAAATTTTGCTTTATAGAAACCATCTCCTAACTATGCTTCAAACTTAGGTCCACCAAAACCAATTATGCGAGAGTTTGGTTCAAAACATTGAGAAAAATAAGTTTTCATGGATATAATTTCAACCATCCAAAAATTTTCAGATGTATATCTTTTCTTTTTTGAGTAATTTACAAATTTGATGTTCTATCCATGTAGGTTTATTTTAAATTCTTAATGTAAAATGGATTGATTTAGGATGAGATGTACAACTTATTCGGTAACATATCGTATGTGTTTTTGCATAGTGACTTGAATCCAAATTTGTTAGGAGAATCACTCATGAATATCCAATTATAAATTGTTCTATATATCTGACTTTTGTGTAATATTTTATTTTCATTTTTAACATTTAAAACTCATATTTTCATCCATGATCTTTTAAAAATGTTTCAAATTCATTCATTACTCCATTAACCTTCACTAAAATTTGATAAAATTTGTATGGCAAAAAGATGGGTTTCTTTTGACTTTTTTTAATTAAAATTTATGTCATATAAACATCTACGGCATATTAATAATGATATGACATTTTCTGTTAAATTTTTAACAATGAAATATTACGCAAAATTAAAATCATGAATGTCTTGTACATTTTACTCTAAGATTACCTAATTGATAACTAACTGTCATTCATACAATTCCCATGCATGTAGAAGACGTCTGTTATACTATGAAAGAAGCCCTATGTTCCCAATCTATCTTAATTTGGTATGTAAAGAGTGGAAATTAGACAACAATCTCAAAATTTTCAATGTAATATTGGAACTAAATCATGGACTCTTGAAACATTGTTGTTCATGGGAATTAAGATCATCATTTAACGAGCAGATGTCATGGCTATAATTTCGTCTGATATGATCTCTCTTTTTGAAGATTTTCATTTTCTTTTAATTCTTTGGCATAGCGTACGTATGCCCTTAATTATTATTAGTTGCCATTCAACAATGGAAACTGCTCTTTGGAATTCAAGCAGCAGAATTCAGCAAGGGAATGACAATTAAAATTTGTAACAAAAGTTACCACACCTTCCTAGCAGCTTCTTCGACCTGACTCTCCGGTGGCTTTGATGTGGACAGCTGCTCACCCATGGCTGCTGCCATAGATTTTCTTGAGAGCAATTATTAGCCTATGTATACTATTCTTCTTCCTTAGGTACATGATGATCACTAAATCTGCGTAGAAATCAAACTACAGTGGTCAGAATCACAGAATCATACCATTAAAAGCACGCAGGAAACTGGTTAGCAGTGGGCAAAACAATCAATGTGACAATCTTCACTGTATTTTAAAATATCTACTTAAATCTCTCTGATCTATCTTCAATATAGCTGAAAATGGATTGGATATACTGAACAAGAGTTCTCCTCCATTGACAAATCACAAATTGAATCCTGCACGAGCTTAAGGGTTATGACCTTCTAGAGCTGGCTAGCTAGTCCAAAATTGTGGATAATATACATAGAAATTGGAAAGTATGAAATTAACCAATATTTTAAGATCAAAACCAAGATTTCTAAGGCATGAATTTCTAAAATGTCTTGTTTAAAGTTACAAGTAATATTAGAGAGAATAGTTCAAACCCACTTAAACCTAAATTAACCACCTGTTTAGGTGAATGGTTAATTCAGTATCCTTTTGTCTAGGGGGTTTTCACTCAACCCTTCATTAGGTTTAAAAAAAATCTTTAAGCAATTCAAAACCAAGATTTCTAAGGCATGAATTTCTAAAATGTCTTGTTTAAAGTTACAAGTAATATTAGAGAGAATAGTTCAAACCCACTTAAACCTAAATTAACCAACTGTTTAGGTGAATGGTTAATTCAGTATCCATTTGTCTAGGGGGTTTTCACTCAACCCTTCATTAGGTTTAAAAAAAATCTTTAAGCAATTCAAAATTAACTATTACCATTTTAATAATTTTTCACAAAACCCTCAAACTAAACATTTGTTTCTTTAGTATGAAAGCTTCTTTTAATCTACTTTATCTTACTAAAATGGTATATATATTGTATATATATTGTATTCATTTTTTAATTTTGATAATATGATATTTAATTAGATGATGTACATATTCTAATACAAAGAAAATGATTCAAACTCGAATTAGTCATTTACGTGTACTCTGACGTATGATAGGTTTTCAAATTTTTTTAAACTCTTAAATTCTTGATTAGTATATTTGATTTAACTTCTAATCTCCCTTCCATCTTTTGAAATTTTGTCAAAATGAGAATAAGAATAATATTCAAGTTCAACTTTTCCTTGGGTGGCCTATATTAATTATATATTATTAATTAGGTCATTCATCATTTTCCTTTATTCTAAAAACCCTAGACTTTATAAACTAATTTTTCTTCTCCTAATAATGAAAATAATTTTCTTCACCATAAATATTTTTCTTTCATAATATCTCATTTAATGGTAGTAGTGTTAAACATAAGTTTATCATCCTAAAAAATTAGTGATAAAAATACTCAAATATACCTTGAAATCTTCATTAAGGTTGGATAATGATATTTTTCAAATCAACAACTTCCTATGCATAAAGATAATTAATTATTGTTAAAATGGTTGGATAGAGAGGTTTAGGGTAAGTTAGAACTATATATGCAATAAAGAGTTATGCTACCAATTATTTATAATTACAAAATCAAATAATGAGTTAGATTGAAATTATTTTGAAAAATCAATTTTCATATTAAAATATTCATGTAACCTCGGATACGGGTAAGATTCAATTTTGACATATAGTTAAACAAAAGAATTAACCTATTAATTTTGCAATAAATTTTCTTTTGAAAGATAAACATATGATCTTAGCTAGTGTGTTTGGAGGAGAAATTAACCACATTTTCCCCAATTCCTTATGTAACGTTGGTGGAAAATTTTGGCAAAGAAGTGATATGCATGAAAAGGAAATATTGGAAAGAGAAGAGAAATTAAGATTTAAGCCGACAATTGGTCTCTTGCCAAGTAACATAAACTCGTGGGAATGTGTGAGTTTTTGACGTTTCAAACATGGGTTGATAATCCAATAGGAAAATATCTTCGACATTCAAGAAATTAAAATTCGCTTTGCTTTTCTAATTTATCAAGAATATTTTGACTGGCTGGCTGGCTAGGCTGCTCACTGCGCAGACCTAACCACAAACCAAATTATGTTATGACTATGATTATTAGCCTCTCAATTCTTCATTTTATGTTCATTTTCTTTCCAAATTCAAACCCACATGCTTTCTTGACGTTTTTCTTTAATTTGCATTAATATATCCCACGTCTCCACTTTCTCTTTATATTTCTCTCTCCGATGCATTTGATTTGATGGAAAATTGGCTCAAAATAAAATTAATTACATTACCTATAAAAAAAAATAATCTTTTATCAATTAGTTTTAAAATTGAAGATTTTAAATTCAAATTTTAATCATTACTTAAACAAAGTATTTTTTGAAATGTAAATTTTAAAGTGTGATGCTTATAATCTTACATTTGAAAATTATAAAAATATGATATGATATATATAAAAATTTAAATTCAAACTTATGAGCGTCTTTTATAAGATAAAATTGTAAAATTTTTTTATTAAAATAAATAATATCTCATAAATTAGATATGAATCTCCACACAAAAATTTTAAAAATAGGAATCAATAATAAATTATTTCATTAAATGAACATAAGTCTCTATCGACATTTTATTATAGACTAAAGGAAGAATGCATACAACAAATTAAAAAAAGAAGAAAAAAGTTTAAAAAGCAAAGGAAAAGAAGACAAGTGCATATATATTTAGAGAGTAATATTGATATTTTTTCGTGGTTCCTTGACCATTTTTGGGTATGGACTAATGGCTATGGTTTTTTTTTTTTTCTTTCTTTCTTTCTTTCAAGTGATTGAGAGGGAATAATACATAGACGTGGATAAAAACAATATGGTGTCATATCTTGTCTTAGGTTGTGAGAACATTTCGAAAAGAGGCAGTGACTTTGGTTGCAAAACCCTTTAGCAATTCTCAGTATGTAGCCAGGGTTCATCAAAAAAAGTATATATTGAAGAATCTACTGGTTTGGTGGAGAATCCTATCCAGCCACATCAATGGAGATCCAAATCATAATTGGATTCGCCATTAAGTTATGTCCATGATCATGCAATTTGTCATTCTTTCAAAATTTTCCATTATATATGCGATCACAATTGTTTTTAAATTTTTATTTCAAAATTTTAAAGCACATTTTTTATATTTTACTATATATTTAAGTGTCAAAATTACGATGATCGATTCTTAAATTAATTGATATATCATTAAAATTAGCTTTAAAAATTATAAAATTACTAATATTTATGCGCATAACTTTTTCTTTTCAACATAATAATTCAATAAAAAATTTCCAACTTGATACAAATTTGATAATCTTCATGGAAGGGCGCAGTCACACGTGCATGCACTAAAACAACCCACCAGCCAAAAAAACATTATTATTAAATAAAACAAGTAGTACTAAATCTGTAATAAATTAGAAAATTCTTTTAAAACTTTTAAACAGCTTCAAATGAGATCAGTCCAAAGAAGACTGCTAGCTGTTATTAGTCTACAACAATTCAATATCTTTTTTTTCAAGAGTTATCATATATTCTTTCTTTGGTTTTTTTAACACGATGAGAAAGTTTTTTATCATATGGTGATATCATTTTATGACTAAATACTTGAGATGTGTATATTAAAAGTTTTTATCAAATTACAAAAATAATTTTAAACTTTTATATTATGAAAAATAGTGTCTTTGTCCTAATGATGAAGCCGCCCCAAAATTTTCCACATACTTTTTCCTAATCAATCCGCTAATGAAGCTGTTCTATTTTCTATGCTTTACCTTAGAAAATTTTCGTGCCGTTTACGACACCTTTAACTCTATAAATATGGCTTTGTATTTTTCTGCTTTTACTGATCTCTCTTCAGACATACATCTCTGTTGAATGAATTTGCATAGCTTTTTTAGTCTTCCATAAGTAAGCCGCCTCTTCTTTTGCAGTGATCTTCGTCTTTATATAAGCACTGGCTTTTATTCCATATGGAGAATTATCAAATGTTCTTTCCTATCTCTTCCCCAGCAGCATCGGCTTATCCGTTGGCACCTTTGCCAGTAAACATGGCACCTAGTTCTCAAATTTTTAACAATTTTCATGGGAATACCTCCAATGGGCTCTTGGCCTTGAAGACAGAAGAAAACTTCATTGAGAAACCAGAAGTTAAGGAACTTGTTCAGAATGGGAAATTTGTAGGTTCTGATGAAACTGGGATGAAATCAGGTAAAAAAAACGAAAAGAAGATTAGGAAGCCTAGATTTGCTTTTCAAACAAGGAGTCAGGTTGATATACTTGACGATGGATACCGTTGGAGGAAATATGGGCAAAAAGCTGTTAAGAACAACAAATTTCCAAGGTTTGTTTGACTTATTTGTTCCATTGCATGCATTTCCTCAATTCCAATGGTACTGATGATATATGATCTTGAGACTTTGATGCATATCATATAGTAGTTGATATATTTTGGAGAAAAATAATGTTTTCAACATGGCATAGCCCGCCATTATCATCCATATCATATCCTTTGACAGTAAAGTATTTACGATAGATATATCCCACTTATTTTACCTAGCTGAAAGATAATATAAGATCAGTTGGTGCAATTGTTCCTTTCAGACTTTGGAACCATTTATAACATGCGTGCACTACCCCTTGCAAATTGCAATGCATGGATACAAAAGAAATTCCATAACTGATGATTCTCTATTTACAAGTTTTGTCTAGGGTTTTTTTTTTCTCCCTCTCTCTCCCAATAATTCTTCTTAATATATTAGAATTAGAAGAATTCATATAGCTAGATAGCAATGCAAGAACTTCCTAACCAGTAACTACAAACAACTACATATGTATACATATATATATATATATATATATATTCTTCTCACTATTTCTATATGCAACTTAGAAATTTTCTGAGGGTCTCAATTATCTATCTTTTGTAATTGGTCTTCCAAATTCTGATTTCTAAATCAATCGAAGCATGGTTTGAGGTCAGCTAACACTGTAATTGTTTATGTACAGAAGCTACTACCGATGCACACATCAGGGATGCAATGTAAAGAAGCAAGTCCAACGTCTAACCAAAGATGAAAGTATGGTTGTGACGACTTACGAAGGGATGCACACTCATCCTATAGAGAAGCCAATTGACAATTTTGAACATATCTTGAGTCAAATGCAAATTTACACACCCTTTTGAAACTCATCATCAATCTTCGTCCGTGCATATATAAATATATAGCTAGATGACCAAAATGCTGTATGCTTAGTAAAGACATACCAACCTTGAATTTCTGTTAATCCTTCCATATGAAATAATAAATTTGTAATCTTACAAGTTTTCTTTTGTTTTTTCTTCTCTTATACTTAATTACTTAGGAAATGGGAGGGAAATTCAAACCTGAAACCTCATTTTTGGAGGTAATTAATGGTAGGTCATTTAGACATTGTGTATTTTAAATGATAAAGAATTAACCCTATTTTCTTCAGGCAATTTTTATATATCGTTTTTACAATTTTTTCCTTCTTTTATTTACAGCTGACAAGATATTAGAAGCACAAATATCAGTATGTTTCAATCTAGAGAAAAACTAATTACATCCCAAACTTTTACAAATAAATCTGCTGCTAATTAAGTTCTTTAATGTATGCTAACATTTTTTAACTTTCCTATACGTTAATTGTTTATATGAGCTTAACTTGATTCTAATTATAGTAGGAAATATTTAATCAAATATCAAAAGATTTAGTAAAATATGACCAAATTTACTTGGTGGGCAACTTAGTGAACTTATATATTTAAATAGTGGTAGTCTCTATTTAATCATAAACTTAACCCTTTTAACCCCTAAACCCAACCCCAATTCATAACCTTAAACCTGAAAACCTAACTTTTTTTTTTTTTTGATAAATGATATTTCATTGATCCAAGGAAGCAGGAGAAAACAAATAAAAAAATGAACTTTATCACTTCCTATACAATTCCCTGATTTTTTGCATGCAGAGCTAATAGAAGAATCATTCGTATTTTTTACAAATTTTAAAAGGCGGAACTACTTTGCATCAAAACTAATGCCTTGCAAAATATTGTCAGTATTTGGAAAACAAATGCCAGGCTTTAGAGAATTTCTCAAATGCCATATGTGGTATACACTTGCTGTCCACGCTTCTCTCAGAATCATAGCCTTGAAAGTCTGGCGTAATAAATAACCCAGTTAAACTCCTACTACCAGTTTTGGATGCTACCAGTAAATTCATACTTTGCTAAAACCAATTGCCAAATTTTATTTGAGAAGTCACAAGAAAAGAAAAGATGATCCTTGATCTCTCCCTTTTTATCACTCAAGTAGTAAGTGATAACATTAACTAATATGCTCAATATTAAGAACCGCAAGCCAAGTGATAAAACAATGTCTAAGGATCATCTTTTCTTATTCAAAGATGATAAAAATGAATTTTTTAGAGTGTTCTTTTAACCTTTTTAATTCATTTGATATTATTATCCACCAACTTATTTGAAGATGCTAAAAATGAATTTTTTTAGAGTATGACTATGAGAGGATCAACCAAGTTTCCCCTGTGGTTTCTGTTTTTCGACTACTTGCCAATGTCCTTCCTTAATCAGAAGGTGGAACAGTTAGCCATAAGATGCAACAGGATAACCCTCCCGATCCATCGAGTCCTATATTGTGCTTTCTCTCTTCTGTCACCACTTTATCTCAATGCAGTCAAATACCATTAGGTCTCTAGATCTCGTAGGTAATTGCCTTGAGATATCTTTGTATTATGATGACAATGTCTTCTTTGAGCGGTAATGTTATGATCAGAAAGTAAAACAATATCCTCCCAAATTTTAGTGGGAAAATTTTGACAGTCATTTGGATAATGTAAGGAACAACAGCATAATTTTAAAGATCTGCAAACTGAAGATTCTTCCTTTTCCCTCATTTTTTTTTATTTTTTTATTCTTTGTACAGAGATATATGCTGGTCCAAACAGAATTGACATTTCTCAAAAGTATTAACCACTGTATTGTCACCAGCAGTGTACTTTGTTGGTGGAGCATCGGATTCATATTTTCTTGGATTCGTAGTTCTAATGACGAGTTCCATCTCAAATACCATAAATGCATCTCACCAAAACTTAAGTCTCAGTGAATTAACAAACCAAAAAAGTTAAGATAACAAAAGTTAGCAGTTCTGAAGTATAGAAATACCCAGACATTAATCAAGACTTATTCTAAATAACAACCTATATATTCAAAATTTGATAACCGCAAACTATTATATATAAACCCAAACTCCCCTATAAGACACTAGTCCTTCTCCTTAGGAAGAGACTTGGACTCCAATTCCTTAGGCTTTGCCTTCTCCGCTGCCCTGAAAGAAGATCGTCAAAGTGAGAAATAACCCTTGTGTTAAGATAAGAACCATTTCCAACAAATGGTTGGAACAGATACAGACAATATATACAAAAACTGAAGAGTCGGAAGCATAATTGAGATAGAAGTAGGTTTCTTTTTGAAGTGATTCACCTATAACAATCACATCTCCCATAACTGGAACGAAGAGTGATGAGTAATGTTCTTACAAACATAGAGTTACACCTACGTTTCAATATCTACTTTTACCTGCTTGGTACACAAATGTAATCCTGAACAAGTAAAGGGTGTGTGTGGGTAAGTTTAGCTACAAGTTTCCATCCATGGGCACAAATAAACATCAGACATGATATGATTAAAGGAGGGGAGAACAGTGAAGAAGTGGTGGGATTATGTATACACAGAATCCATGACAAAAGTGCTTCATTACATACAGCCTTATGCCAAAAATAAAACAAAATTTGCATTTTAAAATGATACTATCAGAACTTAACTCCAATGCAAGTTAGTTCTATCACATCCGGAGACAAAATACACAATGCAGCTCAACTGCAAAAACAGAACCATCGTAATAACTAAGTGAAACAAAACCAGAAGCAAAATCTCAAGAAGAGTTCAAGGTTTAATAAATTCTAAACAACCTTGGTCAATGTGGGGATATGATTCCAATTCTAAATATCTCCTTTGGTGCTATAATTCATATTAAAGCCCTAAAAAGGTTCAAAAAATTACTACTTCGAGCATTAAAAAAAAAGTCAAAATTAATTCAAAAACAATAAAATAGCAAAAGAAAAAAAAAAAACCAGATTGTAAAGAAAAAGGCTTACTTGGAAGCAGCAGAGGATTCTTCTTCAAGCCAATTCCTTATATGCTTAACATTGCGCCTAAAGATCGCAGCCGATTGTTTAACGTCGCTTCGCAGTAAAAGAACCACCGCACTAACGCCTGCTACTGTTAATATAAAGTTCGTCAACGCCATTTACAGCAGAAATTTATGACCTTCAAGGACCAAGAATCGAAGGGTAAAGAGAGAGAGAGTGAAGTGATTTGAACTGATAGGGTTTTAATTGGGGATTTTTCTTTTCTCGGAGAAGACGAATATTATTATTAGGACTCTTTGCCTGCTAATTTTGGGATTGGGCCGAGTCTCAGCCCATTTCTTCTATTTATTGGGCTCTTTTTACTAGAAAATCAAGATACATAGCCCAATTAGAACCAGATTATAATTTTTAAAGTGATTAATTAAGAATGATTAGCTAAAGAGATTAATTTCTTTTCTTTTTATGTTAACAATGTAATGGTTAAAAAAAAAAAGAATAGGTAATCTTTACCAATATTAAATTTGTTTATACACTTACTATGACAAGATATATAGGTTTTCTTTTTACAAATTAAGCAATAGTCTTGGAATAAAAAAAAATTATAAGTGTTAAAATATAAATTTTAAGTACATTGAATGTCACTTTTTAAAATAATTATATAAATTATATAAATTTTAATTTTAATTTTAACAAATAATTTTGCAACCATTAGGAATTAAATCGTATGTTAAGCCAAATGACAAGGAGCGATTTCTGCAGGTGATTGGTGGCCTATACGGAACAGTAAAGTTGCTGAACAATTTTATCCAAATCTTGTTTCATCATTTCTAAATGCAACTTTTCTGTAGCAAAAGTGATTGAATTAATCAATTCACACGTAAACCCAGGAAAAAGTAGGTTCCTAGGTTGTCCAAAACGCACGGGCATTTCTTTTCACTATTTCTCTTTTGGGCATATCAGGTTGTAAATAAATGGCATTTGGCGCTCTCAAGGGTTATTATCTTTTTCTGCTACCATCTTCCTGCTTCTACGCTTGAACAGATACATTAAAAATCTTCAACCCATCATGTTAGATTTCTTACATTTTTATGTTGATTATGCAAATAAATCTGCTACAAACACTTTTTTTTTTCATGCAGGAACTGCCGCTGGAGGCAGCTTGGATAACAAAAAAATGAGTTAGTCTTGCCAGAGTGCCACATAGGCTTTTAACATGACCCTGTTAAACTATTATAGGAAGTCGATCAGATAAGTGTAATGATTTGAAGAGGGTTAACAGAGCTTAGCTCAGAATGGGTAATTAATTTCTCCATTGACGTAGCTAGATCCATTGAACAATATATATAAATATATATATATATACCAGGTGGGTCAAATCAGCCTTTTGCTCGGTGGTTATCCTGTCACCATAAAGACCAAAGAGAACAAATCACCCGCATTTTCGTGCTCCTGAGTCGTAGAAAAGTTGATTTCATCCTTTAAAATCTATAATTTCCCATTAATTAAGTAGGAAATGAAAGACAAATAGATAAAGTTGAAGTAAATCGCCATTAGAAAAAGATTTAATTGAAATTCCAGTGCCAAAAAGGAAAGACAATGTTCACCAACTTTCATTAATTTATTATTACAAGTCATTTGCAAACAGCTTAATCATGTTCCACTTCAGAATAATAAACCATTTTCATTATACTCCTGTTGTCAGTCAAATCCAATTTAAATCTTTCCAGATTGAATCCTTATGTCTGATGAATTTTGACTGATGATTGTTTAGGAGAAAATTAAAATAAAACAAACTAACTAATAATAACTATAGCATTCTTTGTTTGCTACCCATGACCTTACAAAAATGACAATTTCTTTCAGCTTCTCATAATTTCCACAGTGATTCTGGAAGTATTGGGCTCTCCTTGTGATTAGTCTGGTTCTCAGGCAACGTTGCCTCTTCTGAAAAAATGGGTCCGAATCTCAATTGTACTATCAGGAACAGCTAGAATCAGAACAGTTGAGACGCTGGAATATCTTTGGCATCGGAATCCTCCTTTTTCTTTATCTGAAAGATGAAGGAAAATGAAAGGAATAAAGAAAGATGTATGTAAGAATCTCTGTTATGGATTTCTATTATAAACATGTAGTAACTCATTTTGTGCAATCTAGTACATCATTTAAATGTTAATTCAACCAGATTGATGACATGAAGATGTTTGAGGTGATTTGGAGGAAGTGAGTAGGCATTTTTAATTCAATGAAATTCAAAAGAAAAAAAAATAGAAAATCATGGATGGTTTATAGTTTACATCAAAAATAACTATCTAATGTTGGTGATGTAGCGACTAAATGTGATATTGGCACGGCTCAATCAGACTAAAGGACTCAGCCACTGAGAGATTTGATCCGATTGAACTGTGCCAACATCAAATTTTCAACTAAAACATGCATCAATGGACAAAGGAAAGAGAAATTAATCCATGTGACAGCCTCAAATGTGATGGATATATATAGTTGTACTATCGTGGCCGGAAAATGTGCTGTGTAACCCATGCAGACGGAGCACAGTCTCACCATTGATGAGATCAATGACACCGAAAATACAGAAGAAAAAACACTAAATATCAGAAAGTGGTATATAGAATTACACACATTAAAATATGGAATGGTTAGGATTCTCAAATCTTTGCTTTATATAGGAAAAGAGTGAGCCGTGTGTAAAGAAATTTCATAATTCGATCCAAATAGTAATTGATGCAAAGAGAGTTTGATTTCTTCTTTTTACACCTAATTTGTTAAAAGATATGCCTAAAGAACATGGCTAGAGGACCCTCATTTTATATTAATAATGCTATAATTTTACTTTCTAATCATCGTCATCAAAGCATCATCATTGCATACGGATGATCTTGGTAATTAGGAACAAAAGCTATTCACTTTGCAATTTTGAGGCAGAAATTTAGCTGGTCTTTTCGGTGTAATCAACCATATCCATAGTTTCACTTCTAAAATCTCTATCTTTTGGCAAAAACCGATGAAACAATCTGTAGTTTTACATGCATAAGGAGAAGCAACAAATACCCAAAGCAAATTCTCTGGACATTGGCATTTACATGTTTGATGCAGGAAAGTTGAACATTGCCAAGAAGTGTATTTTATCAATGAACTTAGCTGCTTTTCTTTGCCATAAAGATATGAAAAAGGCATTGGTTCACCAATCGTCAGCTTGATACAGAATCTAACCTAACTAATTTGTCTCATTTTCCTTTATGGATTTGCTATATTTTGGATTCTTCATTAAAAATTAAATGGGAATAGTTTGTGAATGTCCTTATATATGAAGATGGAAGCCATCAAAGCTGCTTTTTCCCAGGGCCTGCTCAAGACAAGCTAAACATATGATATGCATGTTCTGCTCAAATTTTAATTCATTTTCTGATATAGGCATATCAAATGAATGAATGGTGACCTGGGTTTGAACCGCAAACTTCATACTAATTCTTTTTTGCAGTAATTAGAAAGCAATAAAAGGTATGGTTGAATTAGTACATTCTAAAATGATTTTAAATAAATATCAATGTTTTTGCCTGTTTAAAATATCTCATTGCTGTTGCAGCTAGTTTTTAAACAACTTTAATTTGCATTCACAACTATTAGCTTTAATTCTTTTTAACTTCCAAAAGCTCATTTCAACTTTTATGTAGAAGTTTTTTTTTGGACAAAACCCCAATTGGCCCAAATTCTAAGAAAATAAGCTGCTTTAAATGTGGTAATAAGAGGTACTCATTCAGAACAATGCTCTTGAAAAATCCTTTGAAATAACTTTGGACTGCAATATTCCAGGCTTTCATTTTTGGATATTCATAGAGTTGAGGCTCAAGCCTGCCTTGGTAAGTAAGTTGTCGAGCCCACAAGTTTGGCCTGTTTTGATTTGGGTAATGTTGGTCTAATGTAATTCAATATTATTGGGTTGTTTAAACTTTTAAAGGCATCAATTGATTAACAAGACAGATAAACACATGATATCTGACAAGACATGGATAAAGAAAACTGCTCTTCTATCCCAAAAAGAGAAAACAAATCAAATTAGGCAAACATTAGAAATAACTATATTTGTTGGAATCCAATGATTTTTGACATGAATTTGATTAACTTTTTGTTTTAGATAATCTATTAACTCATCACTGTTGAATTAGTACAACTTGCCATAAGATGAAAGGGTATGCCACTGTGTACATGTGGTGGTCAATGATGAAGCAATTTATATATTTGAAATTCATTTCCATTTCACATTCACCAAATCTTGCCTCAACCGTTCAATCTCTTCTTTTTCACGACTGATCTAAAAAAAAAAACCAAAGAATTTAGGGTGAGCATCATGGGAACATTAGTAGGACCAGAGGAATCTTTGAACCGATTGAGACCCAACAAGAAGCAATGGATTTGAATTGTTTTGAAGTACCCTGAGAACAAAACAAGATTATTATTGCCTGGTGATAAATCTGGAGATTTTTTTTCTGCATTTTAACTTTCAACCTAAAAGAAAGTTAGATAAAAAGCAAATGCACTTTTGGCCCATGTAAATATTCTTCCTTTTATACCCTTCAAAATTCAAAAAGCAAATATGGGAAGATTTGATTGTCAAGCTTGGTCACCATGATACAACCTAGAAGTGATCAAATATTTATATGCACTTTATAATATTTTCAATTTCACATTAAAAAAAACGTATGGATAAGAAATAGTATATATATAAAAATTTAAATTCAAATTTAAAGATATTTTTTATGAAATAAAATTGTAAGATTTTTAAATTAAAGCAAATAATATCTTAAAAATTTAATGTAAATTTTTATAAATAATATCAAAACGATCGATAGTTTGACGAAAATTAAATGTTATATTTCCATTTCACATTCACCGAATCTGGCCTCAACTGTTCAATCCCTTCTTTTTCACGACTGATCCAAAAAAAAAAAAAAAAACCAAAGAATTTTCAAAGTGAGTATCATGGGCACATTAGTAGGACCAGAGGAATTTTTGAACCGATTGAGATCCAACAAGAAGCAACGGATTTGAATTGTTTAGAAGTACCCTGAGAACAAAACAAGATTATTATTGCCTTGGTGATAAATCTGGAGAATTTTTTTCTGCATTTTAACTTTCAACCTCAAAAAAAAGTTGGATAAAAAGCAAATGCACTTTTAGCCCATGCAAATATTCTCCCTTTTATACCCTTCAAATTTCAAAAAGCAAATATGAGAAGATTTGAAGGACAATAGTTATTGTCATGCTTGGTCACCACGATATAAGTGATCAAATCAGCACCTATAATGATTTTAATTTGATATTAAAAGAATATGTGGATAAAAAATAAAATATATGTAAAAATTTAAACTTAATTTTGTAATACATTTTGTGTGAGATAAGACCGTGAAATTTTTAGATTAAAGTGAATAATATCTTATAAGTTGAGTGCGAATTTTTATAAATAGTATCAAAGAGGTCATTAGTCAACGAAAACTAAGTACTATATTGTGAGAATCACTAAATGCTACATGTGAGGAACCACCTCTAGAATCTTAACTTTTATATGATTTTAGTTTTGTGATTGAGCTCGACTTGACAGGAATATCAAGTTTTAAAGGCGGAGAGATTGTAATAACTCTAATCTTATATTAAAAGAATGTATGAATAAAAAATGCTATATATATAGATATCTAAACTCAAATTAACTTGTGACGTACTTTTTATAAAATAAAATCGTAAGACTTTCAAATTAAAATAAATAATAACTCATAAATTGAATCTAAATCTTCACAGCACTGCTCTTGAATTTCTCACATGATGTCGTATTTTTATCTATGGTTAGATATTAATAACCATTTTACTACTTTTAATAAAATCTAATTTTGGCTTAATAAAAAAATAACATTATAGAAGTGAGCAAATACTTCATGTATAGTTAGTAATTTGGATACAATTTAATTAGTAATTAGTCTTCCTTTTCATAAAGGGAAGATTTCTAGTTCAAGTTCTCTAACTTCAAACAACCGAGAAAAATAGAACACATGCATATCTGTGACGAATGCATACTAAAAGGCATAAGACAGGATTAACCTGAGTTTAATAGAAAAAAAATCCTAGAAACGGTCAAGAATCTAATCCCCCATGACCACTTGTTTAGATGCTATGAGAGACTTGTCAATCGGGTAAAAATAGAATATGTATATCTATCTGATATATGAACGTACGTTCAAAAACATGAAAACTTTATCACTAAGTAGTTCATGTCTAAGTAAAGCAAACAAGCCAAGTTGCAAGGGTCACTGTAGTATATCTATCCTTAACCGTAACTTGCTCTATCATGCAAAAAGCAGAGCCAGATATTATCCGAATATGTCTTAAACATACATGAATTGAGGTGCCATCCAGACCTGTTAAGCTTTATAATTCTAGTAGCAATCAATCTATAGATTAATCGCTACTGATTCTTTTTTCCTTTCTTTTTTTTTTTTTTTGTTGGTTTTATAATTCTGTGTCCTTGATAAGATGTTGCTGATTTTGAACACCCTTGTTTCACTTCATATACCAGTTATGATGTTTATCTCTAACTACTTGTACTTGGGGTGTAACTTTTGTAACTTGAAAAGTTGTCTAAATATTCTTAGAAAATGCTCCAAATGACAGAGTTGAAGGAGTTGGAAAAGGACATTATCCTTATCCATCTAGTCTACCCTTCTTTAGTTCAAAGTTATAGTATAAAAGTTCATTAATGACAATTAGACAGACAGAAATGGATGTTGTATGAATTACATATAAGAAGCATTGCAGTGACACACAAGCTCACCTTCTTTGATGATGCATTTTCAATCTTACATATCCACTTATCCAGATATGAAAAAGCAAGAAAAGGGGAAACAAGAAACAAAAGAATAAAGCAGTACTGCATTTACATGAACCATGGCGTATAAGCTTTTCTGAATCTATCCTTTACCAAATCAGGGCAACTCATGTTCAGTGGACAGAGAGTAGTCATTGGTTCATTTCATATAAAAGAGAACAATACGATGAATACATTAATCATGTCCACGATGGGGTGAATGCTACAATACCTTGAAGCTAAAAGCCTGATTAGGTCAGGCATGTGGCAACCTCAACCAAGGTAGACCCAAGTCTTGCCTCTGCAAAATTGGCCAATGTTAGTGCCTTCTGAGCTGAAGCAAAAAGGGCTTCTAGCTAGATGCAAATGAGCTCTATAAAGTCGTAACAACAGAAAATCAAAGAGAAGAAACATATTCTACTTGGTAGGATCCACTGCTTTGCCTAACTGATAGGGCATTCACTTTGCATTTGCTGCTGATTCCCCTAATAATTGCTATAAGGATATGTGCAGGCTAGCGGTTTGGCATGAATAAAATATCCAAAGAATCCATATGAAATTAATATCTATAAAGAATGTACAATTATTTAAGTGTCCAATTAGTTCTTTATATCCCAGAAAGCATAATCTGCTTTACAAATTTCCGTATCCTACAAAGTATTAAGAACTGTTTAACAAATAATTGGAATATAGCTAAAATTACGCATGATCTTATATCTAAAGAAGATTATTCTCCTGATATTTGGTTGAGGGACCACAATCCATCAAGATTTTTCATGTTTATCTGAAATTGCTTTAACATACAATAAAACAGTGCACACGCAACTACTATATAAAGACACCCTACTCTTTTCTTCCTGTACTACTCAGCACTCACCATTTAAATTAATTGGTCAGCTGAAATAAAAAAGCGATACAGGTATTAAGATGGAGTCCAACCGCAAGCGCCGAGGGTTCATCAAGGGGAAGCTGACACCATTCTACCGAGCAGCCAAGCCAGCACCAGCCATGCAGTACACCAGCAAGGTGAAGCCAAACCAGGCTTCTTCTACAACAACTTCTGTCAGCTATCGAGTTCAGCAGGAGTACCTGAACATTTCCCAACCAAAGCAGGTGTCATTTATTATACCTGCTGACATGAACCGAGAAAATTTAAGCCAAATTGACAGCTTCTTTGGCTTTGCTGGTGATGAAAGTGTTGATATGAAGGCTGCTAGTTACATCTCTTCTGTTCAAGAACGTTTCAAGCTTGAACGAAGCAACTCTGAACGAATTAAGCTCCAAGAAATCACTTACTAGACACCAATGGATAAAGTTCCTTACCTTCTTAGTATATTTAGTGCTCAATTAAGTTAATAAATTCCTTTTTCAGTTGCCATACATATCCTAGAAGATTTCCCGTTTGTGCATAGAATTTGAAGGTGTCCCATCCTTCTGTAATTGTTTTATGCATAATTAAGCATAGTTAATCTTGTCTTAGGTTGAGGCGCTTTTGACTTTTTGAGCTTCTGCATGTGCATGAGTTTGTAATTCAAGCGAAACTGATTTTGCCCTGTTTCTCATGCAAAGTTTCGTTCAATATCAGTCAAATTTTTATATTTTACAAATAAAATTAATTGCATAATATATATTTTAAAAATAAAAAAATTAATTAATAAAGCTGGATGGCTTGATGGAATCGCCGACACATGGTATAATATTTTTGTTTTGGATATGAAAATAAAAATCTTGAAATTGATCTCTTTGACGAATCCTCAAAAGTTTGACTACTATATCAGAAAAATCACATTCTCAAACTTATTCAAAATTTTACAAGTTGCAAAGGATCAGAGCAAGTGGGTGAAGAGAAATGATTCCGCTTACTCCATATACATACATATATATATATATATATATATATATCGCATAATATCATAATACGCATACATAACGTCGTTTTAATGACAGTGGAGGAGGAGAATCTATGTAATTCGACAAGATTTGAGAGTTGAAAATATGTTAGCAGCCTTGGAAAAAGGTTGACATGTCTCTAATCATTTCACTACTGCTGGTTTGTCAGAAAATTTTCGCTAATATTTATATTTATTAAAGGTTTTTAATAAATTTATTAAAGGTTTCGATTAATGTGTTTAAGGATATTTTTAAAATATCATATTTAAATAAATATTTTTTCAATGTTATATAAAATATTACAATAATTATTGTATAATAAAAATATTATTACGCTTACAAATGGTATTTTAAAAAATATTTAAGAGTTTATTTTGAAGGTCATAAATCCGATCAAGTTGTCCAATAAAAAAGCTTTGGATTGTTTTTGGCTCATATTATTATTGATAGTTTCGAATATAATGTATTTTATATTAGATCAAAAAATTTAATTAGTAAAAATTAAAAGTAATTTTGTATTAATTTTATTCATATTTTAAATAATTATATTTGAATAGAAACAATTGTTATATGATAAATTATTATAACTATTTTAATATAAATAGATTATTATTTATAAAGATCGTGATTATATAAAATGTTATAATTATTTGAATAAAAATTTATGTTTGTTCATTCATTATAAATAAATCTTTTAATATAATTATTTTTATTACTTCTACTTGAATAGTTTTGAGACTTTATTATATTTTAAAAATATAATTACCTTTAAAAAAATTCTTTATTCTTCTAAATCAAAATTTTTTTCTATTATTTATATTCTATCATTTATTTTTTCTAACAATTATTACAAAATAATACATAATTGAATTTTGATATGATAGAATTCAACTTTAATTACTACTACCAAATATATGATATAATACTATATGAAATAACATATACTCACATAAATTAATGCTCCATGAATAATTTTATAATTTAGATTAATGTAACACTTTCTCTACCTTTCTTTTTTACCCTTTCTTGTAATAGAATAACCATCCACCCATTTTTGTTTTTTTGCTCTTGGAAATTAAAAAAAAAAATTGTGTACTTTATTTATGTGTATATATTTTTTACTTATATATATGCATGTTATTTCATATATTGGTGGGTAATAAATATCTCACTCAAATAATGAAATAATGCACTCACTTGTTTTCATATTTAATCTTAGGGATTTAAATGGAAAGTATTAAAATATTTCTGGGTTATAATAAAATTTTGGAAACAAAATCTTATGTAAACATGTACGATGACTGTATTAAATGAGTACATATATGTTTTCATGAAAAAAAAATTGTAGTCAATCTCCTTCTTACTCAAAACATGTTATTCTCGAAATATATATGCTTAAGCTTTATTTGGATGAAAGATAAGATTGATTGTAATAAAATAAAAATAATAATAAAAAGTATTATTATTGTGATTGAAAAAAAATTATTATAATTATGATTGAAAAAAATTTTAATAAAAATTTTATGTTAAATTAATCTTATTAAAATTAAAATTTAATTAATGATATGATAAATTCAATCACATCATATTAAAAATACGATTGAATCCAAATAAGTACTTATGAAATGAAATAAAGGGCACACGAGATTATTGGTGAACGAGATTCTTAATAAAACTAAACAAAAGTACTTTACTCTCTCTGTCTATGTATATATTATATACTTTTTTTCTTTTCTTATTTTTATTTGGACAAAGCTTAATTCCAACAAACCCTTGCAACAAGGATATTAATGTTACAACTTACTTACAAGAATCTAAAATAATTAACAATAAAAAATATTTTTTTATTATCATTCAAACAACAAAATATTTCAATTTATCCCAAAAAAATATTTTTAAAAATAATTTTTTGAAACTAAATTTTTGCAAAATAAACATAGTCTTGATGAATTTTTTTTTTTACTATAAATAAACCCTAAACCATTTTTTAAGAATCAATAAAAGAAAATACATATCTTAAGCAAACACAATGCCCTCTCATCAAATTTGGCTTCATACATGTATACGTACTTGCATGCATATTAACACATACATTTATTTCATATTAAATATTAATATAATATTATTTTATTTTTATATAAAAATTACATATAAAAGTTATGAAAGATATTTTTTTTAATTTTATTAAACTCACATATAATTAAATTTAAAATTTAAAATTATATCACTTTTATATTTTTATATTATTTTTATATTATATTTTAAATTATTAAATTTAAATAAAAATAACACAGAGCTTGATTGATTTTTTACATAATTTATGAAAATTCCAATTCATCAACACTCACAAGCTCAGCCATAATGCATCCAGTAATAAACTATAGATTTATTATAATAAAATATCTGGCAAAGACAAATCTTTCCCAAAGTAGTTAAATAAAAATCTACGGATTTATCTAAAACAAAACAAACAACCGACTTACTTCCCATTTTCTTGTACGACAAAAATCCGACCATAGGTTTTTTCGATGCGATGTGTCCTTTCACACGTTTTCTTCCAACTACAAATCTTTTAGTAACAAAAACCGGAAAAGATCTCATAAACTCGTCCCCAACGTCACAACGTGAAATTCTTACCGAAAGTTTATAAAAGAAATGGAAAATCAAATCAGCAACTCAGCATCGTCAATCACAGTGGTCATGGAAAAAAAAAATCCTTGTCTTACCGTATACTTCCACTTGTAAAATAAATGGAAAAAAGAATACCTAGAGATCCACGTGTCAACCTTATAAGTCGCCGTATATTCTCTCCGGGAATGCAAAAAGGGGCCTTTTTTGACGGGACGAATCTCTGGATATCTCCTCTCTTCACTATAAAGTGCTTTTTTCTGTAACATTTTCTTTGTTTTTTTTTTCCTCAATACCTATGAGTCGTATATATTGATTAAGGTTAGGGTTTGTTTTATTATTGAGAAATGGGCAGAGGGAAGGTTCAGCTGAAGCGAATCGAAGACAAAAGTAGCAGACACGTGACATTTTCAAAGAGGAAAAGTGGGTTGATCAAGAAAGCTGGAGAACTTGCTGTTCTTTGTGATGTTGAGCTTGCTCTTGTCATCTTTTCCTCTAGAGGAAAGCTTTACCAGTTTTCCAGTGGCCAAAGGTAAATCCCTCATCCTCTTTCTTTCAATTTTATGTATTACAAGTTGTACGATTCTCTTTGGGGGCTTTAAATCGTTTGCATGAAGGTTTATCTTTTCGTAAAGATTAAATCAAGTTTGGCTAATCATTTTGGGTTTAATCTTCGTTAAAATCAGTACTTTTTCTTCTTTGAATCCTGCTTCTCAAAACTCTTGGAATTATGCCAATTAAACAACTCCACGTTGCTTTGTATGAAGCACACGTATTATGTTTATGGGGGAAGAATTTTCAGTCTTGATAAATACTACTAATTAATATAATTAATATCTTTGATTATTTTATTAATTATTTTTATGTGAAGACAAATTTAAATTACTTGTTTTTTATAAATATTGTGTTGATAAAAAATTATCAATTTAGACTTCATTTTAATTTAAATATGAAAATCATTTTTCAAAACTCAAAGAAGTTTGCAAATATATATTTTCTAAATTTAATGATCAAAATTTAAGTATAAAAAAATTAAATCTAACATTAATTCAAATCTTCTTAGAACTGTGAGGATGATGACTGATATCCGTTTTTTTTTCCCCTACTTTTGACAATTCCTTGAGAAATGAAGTTTTTCTACTTTTTGCCAACGGTGGCTTGGCCAAAAGTACCGTTGGCCAAAAGTAGAAGAGTGTGTGGCTGGATACAGACTACAGAGTGGAATGTTCATAGGGGCCGCTTGTAACTTTAGACTTGTTGACTTTGTCTTACATCAATACCAGCCGTCAAAATTCAGCTTTCTAGATTTGACTAAATTTACTCATAATTATCCTATTGTAGGGGTCGCCCATAGAATTTAAATTTTATTTTAAAAAACGATTTTTAAATGAGTTAATTTTTAATTGAAAAATATTTTTTTTGTTATTTTATACATTATTTTTACCAAAAGACGGTATAATAACTACAAATCTTTCTAAAAATATCATCTTGACAAGTTCGTATATATAAATAGTCTTAAATAAATTTCTTAATTTTATGTCTATATATATATATATATATATATAAAAACATGAAACAGAAACTAGTGTAAGTGAACAACTTACACATTAAAGTAAGAAGATAAATTTAGTAGAACAACTAATATAAAAAATGGTTCATAATCTCCATTATTAAGGAAATATTTGGTGATGTAGATGTTCTAACTATACCTTAATTTTAGAAACTAATTAAGTTTAAACTTGTATTACTCCAAGTTGTGATGTGTATTACGAGGGTGGAGGCATCTTTTATTTATAACTAAGGTCATCTTGAATTAATGGCTGAAATGGTTACTGTCTTAGGGTTCACAAAGAGTCCAACATATATAAGACATTACAAAGGATTACAACTAGATAGTTCTAATTTTACACAGACTTTATCTAAAAGGAGTTTGAACCAACGTGGACTCCTTCTACAGTAGTGATCGTGCAAGGCCCTTCCCTAGGCCTTCGTCTGGTTTGGTTCTGCCTGCACTTGGGCTTTCTCTCAGGCCTACACCTGGATTTGTTTGAAAGCTGCCAAACCAAATCTTCTAGCCTGAGCTCCCTAAGCTCGTACCCATTTTGGGTCATGGTCCAGTCTTTAGATCTTCCATTACGCTTTGGGCCTAGTCTTCCTTACTTTCTGCTTGGTCTCGGTTGCCTTAGAATTGCTCCTTATCCCAATGAGAACCATTGGGCCTGCTCTTCCCCACGGGCTGTGACATTGTAACTTTTCTAATCTCACATTAAAAGAATATGTGGATAAAGAATGATATATGTGTAGAGATCTAAATTCAAACTTGTGAAACGTCTTTTGCAGAACAAAATTTTGAGACTTTCAAGTTAAAGCAGATAATACTTTGCAAGTTCAGTGTAAGTCTCCACAAATAGTATTAGAGCAATCACCAGTTGACAGGAACTAAGTGCTACGTTGTGGGAGTCACTAAGTGTTACACGATAGAGAGCCATTTCTAAAATTTCAAATTGAAAAAATGTATGGATAAAGAATGATATATATGTAGAGATTCAAATCCAAACTTGTGAGACACCTTTTGTGAGACAAAATCATGAGATCTTTAGATCAAAACGGATAATACTTCGTAGATTAGGTGTGGATCTCCACAAGTTAAAGATAGAACAAGGTGATTTTCCTCTATGCTTCCTGTATTTTTTTCTCTCCAAATAATGTAAACATAAACAAAGAAGCATGGTACGCTTGAGAATAACTTGAAAAGAAAAATGATTTTCCTTTCAAAGTTATAATAGGCCATGCAATGCACAAAACTCCAGTCTCCAATATCCCTATAGAATAATTACCCAAATAGTTTTACACTGTGTTTGATAAGAGGGAAAGAAGGAAGGAAAGATGATGAAAGCAAAAACTATTTTCTTTCCACCATTTCTTTCTGTTGGAATGAAAAAATATGAGAAGAAAAGAAAAATGATATATTTACCTTTCTCTTTCATCCAAATCAAATTCTTTCAAATGTGAGATGAAATCACTTATTCAACTTAAATTTATCCTTAAACTTTATATTTCATCATTCATGCCAAACACAACGAAAGATAAATAACTTTTCTTTCTTTTCCTTCCTCATCTTTTGCCCTTCTCTCAATTTCCTTCCTTTACCATAGATAATGAAAGAGCAAGTGAGCAAAATATGATCTCGTGAATCTTCTCTTCCTTTCCATAGAAAAAAATAGCTTAAGTTCTGCATGGTGATGCCCTAGTTATTCAATTTTAATAGAATGGCAATTTTTTCTTATAGTTTTAGGCAATGCCAAAAATTTCCTTTAATAATTATTGCAATCTTTACATTGTTATTTATACATAGGTAAGTAGCCATCATAATTATATATAAATATTATTAAGAACAAACTCAATATGCTTGGCATATTAAGTTTGTGTTTTAATAAAAAAAACAATGAATGTAAAAATTGCTTTCATTTCTACTAGTAATTAGTAGAATGGAAATTAAAAGAAATTAATGCAAAGTTTATAATATAATGGTTAAATGGAATATGGGAATAGAGGAAAAAAATTTCAATCGATGGGAAAGATATGATTGATACACATAAAAATAAAATTATTCTTTTTAACTTATCAACTTAAACATTTAATTTTCTTTTCTTTTTAAAATAGATATATCATATATAAACGCATGAATAATGCTATTCTTTTTATTATTATTATTATTATTTTGTTTTATTTTTTTGTGTGAAAACAATAAATAATAGTAACAAAATTATCTCCAATATCCTTAGAACGTGTCAAAATTGTTAGAACTTGAAACTTTAATTAATTATAAATTTATAAGTTTAAACATTAAAAACAAGGGTACAATTTATGTGAGGAAAGAAAAAAAAAACTTTCCATTATGTAATTCATAACTGATTTAAAATTTTTACTTTTTCATATAGTCACTCCTAATTATACCATGTATAATGCCACATTCAAATATAACAATGAAGGAAGAGGAAACTGATATATTTACTAGCTACGATATATTTACTAGCTAGGATATTTATATTACCTCTATTTTTTGGATTGAGGGAGGGAAAGGAAAAAAAATTAATATAAACCTTCTCATTTTCCTTATTTAGTTTGGAATTTCATTATTAGTATGTTTGGATTTGACAAATAAAGTTGCTAATTTTAGAGGGAAAGGAATAGAGGTACTCATGAATTTGGTTTATTTGGTATAATATTGATAGTTTAGTCTTTACATGTTTGCTCAAGTCTAAATCGATATGACCTCAAATTTTACCTAAACCTATCTAGATTAATAAATGGTTCCATTTAAATAACTTTTTTTAACTAAAATGTATATCAATACGTTTTTTTATTTAATCTTTAGTATTTGTCTTTTCTTTTATTAAGTTTTAAAATATGGATAATTTATCATAGTTTATAATGTTTAACTATAATATTATATATATTTATCTTTTATATAATATAAATTATTTATAACAGCAACAACAAACTAAATCTGATATCACTTAACTTTGGGTCAGTTGTATGAAAGACCAAAAGAGAATCATGTTAGGTTTTAGTTTCGAATCTTCTTACGCCATTCATTTCTATCCACAACAACCTCTATTTCTTTGACCTTCATATTATTTTTTTTATTACTTGCATTAACATCTTTCGTGGTATGCCCCTAGAAGTTTTACTCTTTCTCTAAATCTAAAAACTCACATCTCCTAATTGGTGCATAGATAGGTCTACGTTTTACATGACCAAACCATTTCAAACGACCCTCTCTTATCTTTTCTTCAATTCGGATTATCCTTAATTTTTTTTGAATATCTTTATTTCTGATTTTATCTTTTTTTATTTTACCACACATCCATCTAAGTATTTTCATCTTAGCTACGCTTATTTTTTTTTCATGTTGTTTCTTTATAGCCCAACGCTCAATTCAATATAACAACACAGGCTTTACAGTTATTTTATATAACTTCACATTTAACTTTAAATGCATATTACAATCATACAATACACCCGATACACTTCGCCACCTGACCAATCTATGATTTACATCTCTTTCTATCTCAGCTTCACTTTGAATAATTGATCCCAAATGTAAAAAATGGTTACTTTTTGGTACTTCCTCCCCATTTAACTTAATTACACTATCACTCACTTCTATATAATTACTAAACTTACATTCTATATATTCAGCTTTAAATTTACTCAATTTAAAGCCTTGACTCTAGTGTATACCTCCATAATTCTAATTTCACATTAAGAGCATACTAGTTTCAACCACTAAAACTTTATTATCCGTAAATAATATATACTATGATACTTTATCTTGAATATATCTAGTGAGTTCGTTTATAACTAATACAAAAAAAAAAAAAATTAATGCTGAACCTTGATGTAATTCTAAAGTAATGGGAAAGTTATCAATTACCCCCAACCGACTTTACATTTATAAATATAAAAATTAATATATACCATAAAAGTTTCGGGTTAGGCTTGGACCTTGAACAATAAAATCATGGC